ATAAATTTAGAAATAAATAATTGAATAGGAAAATGTTCACAGTATAACGTTTAGTGAAAAGAGCTGGATAAAAAATAACACATGCTGTGTTCCCAATTTTTTAAAAAAATACATGCAATACATACCTTTATACTCTCACATGCACCTACACATATCCACACTAAAATGATAGATGACTCTCTTCAGGTATAGAGCCAGAGAAAATTTTAACTTTCTTCTTTATGGTTTCTATGTTTTTCCATAATGAAATGTTACTTTTGTAATCAGAAATGTGTGTGTATGTATATGTACATATATACAAACATATTTGTATGTATATATGTAAATTACATTCATGGTTAAAAGATAGGATGTGTTATGGAACATAAAACCTGGATGGCTCTATTGCTAGCTACTTAATAGAAGCACAACAGAATATTGTTGCAATATTGGGTTGACATACATGTAGGGTAGCCCAATAATCTCTGATACTGGGTTGTTTTATGGAAGGCCAAAATTGGTCTGCATGGAACAAAACTTAAAATGCCAGGAAAGTGCCTTATAAATACACCAACATTGTGTTAATTAGATAAATATAACCATAATATATACATATATATACTTTTTGAGTTCTTTTTTTATTATTGGTCATTTCAGTGTTATTGCTGTGAGCAAGAGTTTTGATCTGACCTGATATTTGCCTTTTAGAATCTTTAAGAATTGTCTATAGTTTTAGTTTTCTTTCAATCATGATTTTATGGATTTTGATCATATATTTACTTTTATCAGCTTTCATTTTTCTAAAATGTTAAGTCAGTGTTCTTAGACTCTTCTCAGGGAAGGATTATTAAAACGAACCTTTTTTCTCTTGAATCTGTTTTGCAATGCATTAGCCAGAATCATATTTGTTATTTAAGTTCGAGCCAGTTGTTTTATACAAGTTGTTGAAGAGAGTTTTTACAACTTTAGAAAATGAAACAAGTTTAAAGCTATTACTTTTTTTTTAACTTTGAAAACTTCTAGTTAGGTCACTTTGTCATGTGTGATAGCCTAAATAACAAAAAATGTGAATTATAAGCATGTACCTCTGCTGTTATATATTTAAGACAGAAATAAATAACTGAAGTGCACATTTGTTTTGAGCTTCTGGAAACAGTGTCTCATTTATAAAGAAGATGGCTTTAAAAGGTTAGTTCCAGGGATAAGTATAATTCACTTATCACTAAAAGTAGCTTAAGGTAGAGGAAGTTTATTTGTTTTAAAGCAGGGTAAAAAATGTAGAACTGTTTAATCTACTCCTCTTTAGTGTATAGTACAGTCTATTCGAATTGCATTTTAGTTTTGAACATTTTTTCTCCTTTTAGGTTTGGAGAATCACAGGTATTTGAAGTGCAAAGATCACTGAATTTCTGCTAGTTGTTTTTGAATCTAGAAATGAGCCAGCTTGGAATGAATTTTTCTTTACTTGCTCCTTTTAGAGCAAGTTGTAATGTCACACTAAAGGAATTACTTTTTCTGAGAGAGTCTCTGAAATGACAGTATTCTATAAAACAGCTGGCAATTTAACATACCACTGATTGGAAAGCATGCTAACTCCAGCTAGGTTGATAGTACAGAGCTACTGACTTGGAGAATGCCTGTCACTCCTGTGTTTGAATTGGCATCCCTGTTTCACTGTCAGTTGACCTAATCTGTTAAGACTTTATATACTTATGAGCTATTAATGTTGTGGTGTTTATCCATATACCTATTTGTAGATCACTGCATGGACTTATTAAATCTTGAAATTTTTCGTATGCTCAATAAGAGTCTTCATAAATTTTTCTTTCTCTAAAATTAGAAAGAGACTCCTTCAAATCCAGTGGCCACAGTGAAAGCAGGAGAACGACAGTGGTGTGATGTCGGAATTTTTAAAAATAATACAGCTTTGGTGAGCCAGTTTTATTTGCTACCAAAAGGGAAGCAAAGCATCTCAAAGGTAGCTATTGATATATTTTCTATGCTGTTATAAACCTCAAGAATGAGATTTTTTTTCTATAACCCTGATTCATTCACTTGAATGAGTGAAATTGAGATCCATCCACAATCTATAATTGAGAGTTCTGGAAACCAAGTTATCTTGTATTCTTTGTTAAGAATCTTTTTATAGAATATATCACAAGCACATCATTTAAAAAATCTTAGAGATGGGTGTGGTGGTATGTGCCTGTAATCCCTGCTATTTGGCAGGCTGAAGCAGGAGAATCACCTGAGCCCAGGAATTCAAAACTGTAGTATGCCGCGATCATGCCTGTGAATAGCCACTGCATTCTAGCCTGGGCAACATAGCAAGACCCCAAGACCCCATCTCCAAAAAAAAAATCTTACACAGTCACTAAGCTGGGTTTTGAGTCATAAATAATCTAGTCTGATCAACACAGATAAGGATTTTTTTTAAAATACATAATCACTTTCATTTT